TCTCTAGGGGTGCGTTCCACTTAACGTTTGCAACACTCGTATGAATCAGAGAGAATCAAGAGAGAGTGGAGCGGAGAGTGTTTCTCTTCTCTAATTAGTTCCGCTATTTATAGTTCACTTCCGCAAATGTGCATGTGTGTGTGTATGTACATATATATGTCATACACAATACTAGTGCGGTACTAATGTGTGCAGCATCATATGTTTCTTCACGCTCCTACTATATCTTCTACTCATTTCAACAGTACACTACAAATGGCGATTTCCGGATGAGTCCGCTCCACTCTTCCTCGATTCTCTTTAGTATGAATCGTTTTATCCTTGTTTAATATTTGATAACAACAAGGATGGAATTACTCACGAGCCTTACAAACGTTTAATGGAATCTTAGATTATATCAATTATGAATTTTCAAAGATGCAAAAAACGTTTTTAGAAGATTTTAATTTATATATTTTTCAAAAATTGATAAAGCACGTTAGCAGGTATTATCAAAAACTAAGAAACTGCTATTCTTTTCCAGAACGTAAAATGTTTGTACCATTGTTATTTCATTAATATTTATGATGATTACGCAAACAAATTATAAAATAAAAATATAAATTTGTCACAGTTGTCATTAGCCGTAAGTCTTAAGTCATAAAATCTAAGAAGATAAAAATTAATTATTTTCGTTTAGAACTTCAACATTCTACATACACGAAGCATAATTAAAGTAAAATGTTAATTGACAATTATTATAACGGAGACATAAAAAACTTGTTTTTCGTAATATAATTACTTATTTTTTTTTTACCCAATTAAAATGTGTTTACAAGATTTCTTACAAAAATTGAAACTTGCATATATATCAAACTAAAATATATCTAAAAATTAAATTATACTACATATCTCGAATATTAAGAAAAAAAACTTCTTTATCGGCCATTTTACTGACTATCGTATGAATTATAATTGAAATGACGTAAAAACTTTAGAACTCTTTTACAATAAGAGATAATATTCTAAACAGTTTACATAAAAAACAAAACAATTTACATAAAAAACAGGGTCTAAATAAATAACTGATAGTGAATCTTTGTCAGAATCGTAATTTCAAATCATACAATCCCTCTCTTCTTCTTATAGTGTTTTTTATTGGCAGAATTAGTACGCATTCAGTACACTTTGAAGCCGTTGTATAAAAATCGACATAAAAAGATGTTTAATAAAAATATAGCTACGAATTAAATTGCAAAATATTTAATACATTTTATTGTACTATTTGAAATGCACATTGGATATATTATCAATTGAGATATCTCACTTTTACGATTTTTATCTTACTATTTAGATTAGAATAGTGTGCAATAGCTTTAATATGCACTGAGAGCACACTAATTCTGGCAATGAAAAATACTAGTTCCCTTTTCGTTCCCCTTTCTTTACTTTTTCCTTTTTAATTCTATTTTTGTCCCTCTATTTTCTATCCTATTTTCATTCCCTATTTCTTTCCAAATTTGTCTGCTTAGTGATATTTATAATCTATTGTTATGATAATATTTTATTCTTGGCAATTATAGTACTTGAAAGATTTTTTTGCACAGCTTTAAGTCTTATATCTCCATTCTGGCAAATAGCAAGGAGATGTAATATAGATTTCGAATACATATTTATGCTGTTTAATATTTATGCTATTTAATTTAATATAAAGCAATTTATTCTCATTTTATATGGCGATTATTAATAAATCATGACTTATTGATCTTTTTAAACAAAATTTAATTGCGACAATGACAACACATATTTCAAATGATTAACGTTAACATTTAATATATATATTATTTTTCATGTTTAATTTGTACCGATAAAGATTAAAAATCATGATCGAAACGTCTATACGTTTAAATAAAGAATTTCTTAAGACTGTAAATATGATTACAAGTGGGAGGAAAATATTTAACGTGTTAAGATCAACGTATTGGATCTTAAGTAATTTAAATAATTTGATGAATTTATATATGTAGTCATTTAATTTAATTTAATTTGCGCTGAATAACATATTAAAATTTGTAAATTTTATTGCGAAAAATATTACTTTGACAAAGCCTCGGTGATCTAACGGTGAGGATACTCGCACAGAATGCAAAAGATATGAGTTCGATCTTTGACCAAGGTAATATTTTTTGCAATAAAATTATTTACAGATTTTAATATATTATTTAGCATAATTAAGAAGATTTTAGAGATGCCTCTGAGCAAATTTTTAAATTTATCTAATAGTTAACTTAATTTGTGATTATTATTATTATATAAGTTTAATCGGATTTGCGTTTCAAGATCGAAAAATCATTTCGGCGCACAGTTTGAATGACTACATATGCACTGTGTTCTAAATTTACTGCCAGCGCTGAAAATCTTTAGTTTACGTGCGTTATAAGATTTTCAACATTAATAATGAATTTTGGAACACAACCGTATATATAAATTATACCGAATTATTTAAACACTTAAAGGGATGCTGAAGTGACGCTCGAACTTGATCGATGTTAACTGCACGATTTTTTAAATTTCAAATAAAAAAGTCAATAGTGATGACATCTTTAATTCATTTCTTATATTATTCTCTACCTTATATCGTTTTATCTCACTCAAACGTATACATCTGTCTTTATTTAATATATTGCAACGCCATCTCTTGCAAGATCAAATACTTACTATTAGATACAATTACTTTGTTTATCATTCCGAGTCATATTCAGTATTCGTATACACGTATAATTTGCAGATCGATATAAATCTTTCTTTTTAAGCTTTTCATCTTAGTTTCATAAACACAATATTGTTTGTGCATGTAAAACGCTGGGTGCTGAATTGTCGTTTTGTCCATATCTATAAAACTTTTGTATTAAGGAAACATTTTCGAAAATACGCTAAACAAGCTGAATGTAAGTTTTTAATTTTTTTTTTTCGATTTTAGCATAAAGACTGTGACATTTCCCAATTTTGGTTCTGCTTTAATTCTGTAAAAGGATTTTTCATTCCATTCAGTAAATTCAAAGATTTATATCGATTTGCAATGTCCCGACAATTTGGTCATTCCAGCATCTCCTTAAGATCTACGTTTATTTTTGTTATGTAATTGAACCAATAAATTTATTGTATGCATCGATATCAGCGTGGGTCTTATTTCAGATTAAATATTTTTATTACATTATTAAAAAAACACAAATAAATAAATAAAAATAAGCCAGATTTCATTGAATATTGTTGGATATCACAAAACAATGACAGAAATAGCTGTCGCGAGATCAAAAATATATAAAGCATGAGATACCCTCATTATTCAGTGTAAATACGTTTATCAATATTGATTTGTATTGAAAAAAAGGTTTTTTTTATATTTGAATCACCTTCATATTTTATAAGTTTTAATATCAGTGAATTTTTAGATATTATCAGTTCTATTTGTTAATAAAACGTATCGTTAACGTCTTATCAGAAAAACATTGTATATATCAGATAAAGATTATCTGATAATAAGACAAAACGCCGATCATATATTTCATGAAAAATATTGCATTAATTCAAATCTAAAAATTTATTCAAATTAAAAACATTTTAGAAACAGATTAGACTTGTTATATCTTAAAATAAATTTATTATTTTCGCGTAATTTATATAAAAAATATATTAAGTTTAACTTTAATCAATTTAAAAGACAAACTTTCCGTTACTTAGTTACTTTAAAATTATATAGAAACATCTCTTAAATTTGAAATTGAATAAGGAAAAATGAAGAAAAACATTTCTTGCTTTAAATGACAATAGCTATTCTTATTTATAAAAGTAGTCTTTGTGTGTGTAAATAGTTGTACATTATACGCTAAAAATCATTAAACGAGATAAAATTTTTTAAAGAAATAGATAAAAAACAAGTAAGAAATAGTATTTACGTTTATAATTAGATAATTTATTGAAGAATTAGAGATAATATATAATATAATATTGTAAAAGATAGGATAAACTGGAAAAGTAAAAGATTATCAAATATTTATAATTTAATATTTGGTTGATATCCTAAGTTCGTTAAATCTTTTGTCACAGTTGCTACAGTTTCAGAAGAAATAGATTTAGGTGGTGCACGAGATGGCCCTGTATCAATGTCAGTAAGAAGAGCCATTGCTATTTTTATAGCCTGTATTCGATTATCTGCAATAAAGAACCGATTTGAGTAATAATGCATTATCAGATATAAAATGGTACCTACCATGTTTCATTATAGCAATTATAGCGCTTGAAAGCTTCTCTTGCATATCATTAGCTTTTATCATATCTCCATTCTTGCAAACAGCAAGAAGATCCAATACAAGTTCGGGAAACATATTTAAACTGTTTAGTATAAAGGAATCCATTCCCATTGCATACGCAGCGGGCACTAACTAAAGAATCAGATCAGATTAAATATATTTTCATTAGGTTGCAATAAAAAGAACAAATCTAAATAAAAATAAGCTTATAGAATATAATTAATAACTACAATCAGTAATCAGTAAGAATTCTTTTATTCTAGACCTATTCTTGCAATCATCCAGCGTTACTCATTGAGTAAAGAACATTCATCGAGAATCTACTTACTGACCAATTATTAACTATTTTTAGTTTATTTTTCATTTATAAAACGCCTAAATCTTGGCCTAAACTATTTTTATTTTATTACCTGATTATTACCAAGGAAAATACTAAATTTTCTGTTATCTGCACGTAACGCTTGTACTCCTTCTTCTAAATTGGAGCTAGTGAATTTTATACCCACAAACGAAGGTATTTTGTCACCAATTGATTCAAGGAATCGTCCCATGTGTACTACAAAATATATTTATATACGATAATAATATTTATTGTGAAATATGTATATACATATATGTAAATATGTATATAATGAAATATTATTCTTTTATTAATAAAGTCAGTTGATTATTTCTAGTATATGTGTACTAAAATGTCGAAAGATCGCTTACTATTAACATTAGTCATCACAGGAAAATGATAATATAATAACGGTGTTTTTGGTGCCGCCTCACCAACTATTTCCAAGTATTCAATTAGTTGTTTAGAGGTAGTAGGCTTGAAGTACAGTTCTGGTAAGCAGAGTATAGAATTTACGGGCAGACTGCTTGCATGTTTTGCCTGTATATTATTTCCATTATATTGATTAATCGCAGAAGGTGGTACACTATTCTATGCATATGATAATAATTATACATACAAGTTCGATAACATCGGGAAGAGGTACACCTCCTACTTGAACCATCAGGTGTTGCTTTGTTTCTTCCACTGCTTTTACCCAAGTTTCGACAACAAGTTTCCTTTCAGCAACAGACATTGCCATTCCTTCACCATTTGTTCCATTAACTGCAATAAGAAATATAAAAAAAGTTATTCTAATTTTATTATTCTAATTTTATTATTATAATTTTGAATAATTATTATATAATATTATATATACGTTTTCTTTTCTAAAATGATTTTTATGCAAAATACTTTTTGATTAAAATTTAATATATTAAATATTATTATATAATTAAAATTAATTTTAGAAGTAACTTACCAAGTATACCTTTAATTCCTTTCTTTGATAGATGCATTGCATATTTTGATATAACTTCCAAATTAAGTGCTCTATTAAATAAATACTAGTCATTATTATTCAGTTTAAATTTATTTCAGTTATTATTTATAGAATTTATGGTACAATTAATTACCCATTGATTCTAAAAGGAGTTAATACTGGAGCAATAAGACCTTTGTAGGTGTATGACAATCGCTACAAAGTCATAAAATATAAATTTTTATGTCTGTAATACTATAAGAAATTTATATTTTATTTTATTTAACTCTAATTAAATCAACGTGATATATCGCAAACATATATAATACAAATAAATATATACAAATAAATTCCTTTCTAAAAATATTAATTTGATTTGAATGTATCTGTTTTATTCCTTATTTGAATAATATGGATTGTACATAGCTGCGATATTTACTGCAAGTACAAAAAATCTATAATATATATATCTATAATATATA